CCGCTACCAAAACCTTGCTATGCAAACCCACCACACACTGTTTTCCACTTGCACTCTGTCTGGCTCTGGCCAGGAAAAAAAGGATTCAAGAGCCTTGTATCGTAAACCTGTGATGATTACTGAAAATGAGCTCTTAGCAACACGTACTAGTCTAACAAAACTAGTTGCATCTAAAATTGTGTGTGCTATAAGGGCTGCTCAGGGTCCAGGCTACACTCTGAAATAGTTACGCTGATCTCTGTTACAGATACTTATCCTTGTTAGTTCAAATTGCCGGATGTTTTGAAAGTAGTAGGATTACTGTAACATTGCTCTGACACATATGGCTTTTGTTTGGTACTAAATACATAGTTGTGTTAACTTTTTCTCCATGTTTACCATTTTGGGCAGGAAAAATTCCACCTGAGAGCACACTGATTTTCAACATTGACCTTCTAGAAATTAGGAATGGACCAAGGTCTCATGAGTCATTCCAAGAGATGGATCTTAATGATGACTGGAAACTGTCGAAGCAAGAGGTGAGTGAGTTGCCCGTCTTGTGAGCAAACCTAACAGGATGAGATAGTGCAATGGGAAAGATAAGCTTAACTTGTGCTTAGATACTTCCGTAACAGGATCATGTTAGATCTTTAGGTACTACTGCGTACAGAGTAACTCTGCAAGTGAAATGCACACTATTTAAGAGTGTTTAAGGCAATTATTTATTGAGTGATGCACAGTGTGGCTAATTAGGACTGAGTTGTTAGCATAGCTACTGAACTGATACGCCCATCATGAATGGGAAGACACCCAAAAAGCTATTGCTGATCAAGTGGTTATTAGTCATGTGGGGAAGGGTGAGTCTATGTTCTTCTCTGGAGATGACTTTCAATGTTGCTGCCTTCCAATTCTCTGCTTTTTTTCCTTTGGAGTTTTATGCCTTTTTGTGTTGGTATCATTGCTGCTGAATGCTCTTGAACTACTATTCCTGGCTTAACAGTTAAGGTCCTGTCTGTGCTTTGTCTTTCTTGCATGACTTCAGCTCTCATACTTTCTTACATCTTAAAAATAGTGGAGGTTTTCTTAGTAAAACTAAGCCAAAGATGCACATCTATACTGCACTACACTGAGCCCTGCATCCCAGCAGAACTGCTGGACTGGGGATTCAAAAGTGGCCTCAGAAAGCTGAGCTATAGGCACATGACTGATGTGTGCCCCACATTATGGGACATTTGGATGAAGGAAAACATTTTAGAAATAAAACCAGACTCCAGGGCTTTGAGTTAGTTGCTGATTTACTAATAAACTGGAAGTAGAAATTCATCTGCTGTAGTTCTTGTTATACAAGCAGCATCTGTTTAATAGGTGGCTGTGTTGGTATTGATATTATTGTAGAAGGCTCTGCTACTTAAAAAACTTGGCATCTCAACAGTTAAACCTTAAGCTCAGTAAAAATGAGACAATGTTGTTCAAAACACTCCTCACTATTAGTAACTAATTCAGTGTAAATAACTGTTCAGTAGTTTGTTTAAAAGCTACCTTGAATCTTTGACCCTCAAAATTTTGAGTTGTCTAGAAAAATCTTTGTTAATGTAATTCCCATTAGAGCAGCAAATGCTAAGATTGTGGATGGATTTCTGTATAATTTGGGGTGGCCATTTACATCTACTGGCTTGTCAAAGTGTTAGGATGTGAAAAAGTTGTTTAGGTGTCTGATCAGTTAGTAGCTAATAACTCCTGCCTACCTATTTATACTTTGTAGACCTCAGATGACAAATTTTCTTGGCTCACTTCTTTTTAGTCAGATGCCATAAAGGTATGGCAACTGATTTGCTAGTTTTACTGTCTCCAAAGAGTCTTTCATCACTGAATAGGGCTGCAGAATCAGTCAGACAAGTACTGTTTTCGCAGTGGTATAGGAAGGAATCTATTGTCCAATACCACTATCCTGAACATAGTGGCCCCCTCGTACATTACAATAATCAATTCTTTCATAAGCCTAAAAACATTAACTCACCTTTTGTTTAATAGGTGAAAATTTACTTGAAGAAAGAATTTGAAAAGCATGGAGCAGTGGTAAATGACACCCAGCATGATGCTTTGGTTGAAGACATATTTGATAAAGAAGATGAAGACAGCGATGGGTTCATATCTGCAAGGGAATTTACATACAAGCATGATGAGCTGTAGACAAGGGTGGCATAACTTTTTTGACACAAATGGCAATGACTTAGACTACAAGAGAACAAGACAGTTGTAATTCTGTGTTTTGGGGTTGACAGCTGCTGTTGGCTAAGAAACACTCTTTGTTTTATATAAAAGAATTTCTGTTCATTATGTACAAAAGTTTTAAACTATTTTAAAGTATGAAAATGTACCTCCTTTATGCAGCAAAGACTTGCACATCAGTGTTTTTTAAATTTTGTATTAACTTATTTTTCAGAAATGAAACAAACTTTCCAGTTATCAAACATTGTGAAAAATCCAGTTCAGTTCTTTCTCTGATTTGTGTGTGTGTTAAGATCAGTTTCAGTGACTGTTTATATATATATATAAACTTTTAGTCTGTGGCTTAATTACTTGACCTTCCTTCTTGTGTGTCACTGCTTGAAAAGCAGTGTGCTGTCCTTGCTTTTTTTGCAGATTTTTAAAAGCTGTGCTAGAAGGCATCAGCATCTCTATATACAGCTGAGAAAATGATACAAAGCTGAATGAAAAGAATGACTATCCTGTGCTGATTTTGCCCTTCTAAAGGGAGGGCACTACCAACTATGCCAATAATTGTCAGTGTTTTTCTTTAAATTATGTGAACAAAGTAGGAGTTAAATGCCAGACTCTCACTTTTAATGTTAGCAGCATCATAGGAAATGTCTGTAACTTGGAAAAGAGCAAGTTATGCTGCAGTGCAGAGGTGGTGTCCTTGCATATACCCACATAGTTGTTTTGAAACTCAGAGCTTGCATTCATGAAGAAAGATCATACCTTTATCCTCTCAAGTTTTGAGGGAGATCTTGAGTCAAATGTTAGAAGTATGAAGCTTTTCTCATTTGCAGAAGAGCATTCTGACAGGAGGATCAGTGTGGTCTGAAGAACAGTTTGCTCTGGCTTGCCTGCTTTGCAACCGAGTTGCAGAACTTGTTTCAGCATTGCCCTTTTGCAGTATTTTCACGAGTAGCATACAAGTGATGTGAATTTTAAATAATAAAGTGACTTTTCAGAAAAATAGAGGCATCAGGTAAATGTTGTGATGTTGTGTCTTTATGAAGGTGGAGACCGTGAGGATTTCAACTCCATGCTGTGTTTGTTTGCACTGTGTCTGGAGAGGAAGAAACATTTTGCGATGTCCATGGTTTCTTAATGAGAGGACAAGGTATCTCGGGGAAGGAATTAGCCTGTATTCTGGCACCACTAATTATATGGGTCTCTGAACACAGTATTTGACTTGAGAAATGTTGCTCAAGGATATGGAGGGACACAAAGTATGAGATCTAGATTGCTGTGTTGTGCTAATCCTTAACAATTGCCAAGTGAAACTATGTTCAAGGTTCTTGATGCTGTAGATGAGCCAATGTTGTTCCCTGCCACCTAGTGTTGCAAGTAAGTATTAGAAGACTGCTTTATTGAACAGAGTTCAGCTGCGTATAGACATTACAGATCACTGTGAATAATGACAGTTGCAGGGGGGATTATAAGTGAAGGTATGTAGCGGTGGGGGTGTTTTGTTTTTCCTCTAGCATCTGGCATTTTGTGGCTGATGGCCTATGTGATGTGGAATTGTGGACAAATATTTTGTTTTCAGTAACCTTTAGGTCTTTTTCCTCGATGCCATCTAATTTTCTTGAACTCATTTATACTTTTGCTTCCATAATGTTTTGTGGCAGTGAGTTTCACAGTGGAATAGCATAGGAAAATATTTCCCTTTTGTTTTTAGGCTTGTTGCCTGTCCTGACTCTTGTATTGTGAGGAAATAATGAATAATCATTACCTATTTAGCTCTTACTAGTCAGGATTTTGCATATTGATATTTTTTCTCATCATTTAAAAAAATCAAGCTTGCCTGACTTCAGCTCTCCCAAGCTTGCTTGCATGTTCTGTGCTGATGTCTTGATTTCTCCTACAGTCACCAGAGCACTAGGCACCTGGGGCCAACTCATCACACGCACGTCATTCATGTTGTATTGGGATAGATGCCTTATCAAGTATTAACTATGTGGGGAGCCTAGGCAATTAGCATAGCCTAGGCTGAGGAGGGCTACTAGAATATGAAGTTGACCCTTAAGGCAATCTTGCCTAGGATGTGGGAACTGGCAGGTACACAACCAACAAAAGGGGAAATACTGTGTGCGCGCTGTTGGGAAGAGCGGGACAGAGACTTGCATTGGGTCTGTTGGGGCTTTAAATGATTGTTTGCAGGGTTTAGCATGTTTTCCTAACACCTGGCAGGGTAATGAAAGCATAAAAGCGTGAAATAAAACTTAGCCCAGATTGCTGACCAAATATATAAAAAGTTAAGCATAAGTAATGGGGTGCCAGTATGTGCCTTCAGTAAGGGGCAACTGTGGTTTCCTTTGTATTAAATAGAAGTTTGGAGTTGGTGAATGCTGTGAAATGTACATACGCATTATCTTCTTTTAAAATTTGTTAATGCCAGCAGAATATTAAAGCTGCAGGACCAAGCTGCTTTATTTGGTGTTGTGTGCAGGTTTATGCCAGATGAGTGGATGGGGTTTGTTCTTGGTGCTTTTCTTGGTAGCTGTGTTAAATTTCTGAAATTGAACTGAAGAAAAAATTCAAAAGTGCAGAGTCAGCAGCAGATTCGAGAAACCACTTCAACTTTATTACCGTTTGCTATTGCTCAAGTCCTCCTGTGAAGATGAAGGGATTTCTTAGGTAGAAATAGTACTGCCTGTCTTATCCTCAATTGCATCTGCTGCTTAGTCCACAGGGCATACCGCTGCAGTGCCAGCAGGAGCCAGCTAACTACCTGCAGGAGAGCAGAGGCGGGTAGTGCATGTCCTCCCAGGGCAGAAGGAATATTGGAACTTCAGTAGCACTCAGCAACACTTTGGCTGGCTTATGTGTGAAGTGCAAGGTGTATTTCCCCTGAAGAAACAAACCCTCACCACTTGTCTGTAAAATGCAGCACTTGGGAAAAGCAGAGAGGACTCAAAACTGTGGTGAGCATGTACCAGATCGTTCCTTCTGCAGCTTATAGCCTTCTTCACGTGTTTATTCTTGTTTTGTGGTTATATAGGAAAATATGTACTGATGTTCTTTAGAACAGCAGCCCTGTTATTCAGAGCCACTACTGAGCAATTACAGTGGGAGTTGCTGCCTTCTGTAGGGTACTAAAGCAGCCTTCAGAGCTCATTTTATTTGAAAATTCTTGATATGCAATGCAGTGACACAAGAAAGCTTTTGGCAAAGCTTCAGGAATGGTGCTTATAATCTGAAATGGTTTTTAAAGCTTTCTTCTCTGAGATCGACTGACAAGGCAAACAGTGTTGAAGGAATCACTTTATTGGGTCTTAAATCTTTGCTTTTCAGTACCTTACATCCTTGTGCTGCCAGCAACATTCCAGTATAGAGGTGTTTTGGTGAGTACTGTATGTGAGAGTCATAAAATTGCAGTGTTAAGTACATATTGAACAAACTGATACCACAGTTTCTTCTTCATGACATTTAGAACGAAAATGATCCATAGTGTTTCCTGAGTACTTCAGTGTAAAAATAGGTGGTACAGGTCAGCCTTTAAATTACAATTGTCTTTGTTGTATGTGCTCCCCACACCCCATAATTTCTGCTGTTAGACATGAGGTGGTCTATCCCTTGACCCAGAAATTCCCATTTCAGATGGCAGGTATCAGAGGGATTGGGAGAGCTTGCTGCTTTGGGGCATTCCGGGAAAAGGAGCAAAGCTGGGGGAAATGTGTGAGAGAGTGGAAGTTAGCAGAGTGATGTAAGAAATGCAAAAGATTTTTATTTCCTAGATCCTTTGGCATCTTTACTTGGCAGAAAGAACACTGGCAGCCACTGCTGTAGGTACTGCAAATTGTAAGGCTGGTTCCTGATCTGACTTTGACTAGAAATCACTGCTTCAGCCAGTTTTGATACAGATTTTTTTACTCTTGTGACAAAAGTTTACATTCACACTTCCAAGGTGCATTAAAGAATATTCAGAATAAGTATGTCGCGTTTGTTTCTTAAAATTACATCAGCCCCATTATATAGCTTTTGCAAAAAACCCACCACCAAACAAACAAAAAAACCCCCCGCAGACCACCATGCAAAACCCACCACCCCAGACCCCTTTGTATATCTTCAACACTAAATTGTTTTTTGTAACCGGAAATAAACCAAAACCTGCTTATATTTGTATAATCCTGGATAATTTTAGCTTCTCTTGAAAGTTAATCGTAATGCTTACATTCTGTGCCCTAGTTTTTTCCTGGTACATAGGAAAAACAACTCTCTGACAAAATAAGAATCTTTCTTTAGCTATCCTGCTTCTGTTTTCATGCTTGTGCTTGATTATGTCAACAGTTTCACATAAGAACTATAACTGAAAAGCTTAGTGGGAAGCCGTATGTCTGTTACAGGGACAAGGACCTCCATTATCAGCTCTCCCAGCCTGGCAGGATTCAGATGGAGCTTCCTCTGGCATCACATTTCTTCCTTCTAGGAGGTTCTGTTCCAAAAGCAGCCTGGTTTAGCTAGGGGTTGCACCCAGTTAGGAGTCCTACAATATTTCTGATCTCTTGAATGATGCAAAAAGTAGGAGCTTTGTTTAGCTGAGAAATTTGCTGTGAAAATAGAGGACAGTTTGAAACATGTCAAGTAATTTCATGCAAGGTTTATGAAGGCCATGTTCCTGATGGAGGGCTGGACTTTGTCCACAGGGATAGTAATTTTTCTTTTCCTTTTTTCTTTTTTTTTGCTTCTAACTGCTCTGCATCTCCATGAAGTAAACAGCGAGCAAAGCTGTTTTTAAAACATTAGGATCTAACTGCAGAAATCTAGTGGATGCAACTGTTCAAAGTTCCCCAAATCCCAGTTATGTTTTCATCTAAAAAAATCAGAGGCTGATGCTAACTACCGTTAAGATACCATACTAGATATGATGCTTCTAATTTCTAGTTTGTGTCATGACCTGCTTAAGGAGATTAAATGACGCAGGATAATTGATTCCT